AGTCATTCATCTGGGACACGCACGCACGGCCCAGAGCCGCCTCACACTCCATTCCCAGCCAGTGCGCCACTGGCTGGGAAAAGTTTGTAGAAAAATACGAAAGTGGTGGTAGTAGAGTGGCAGCAGTTGTGACAGTGGTAGAGGGTGGTAGCAGTTGTGATAGTGGTAGAGGGTGGTAGCGATGGTGGTAGAGTGTGGTAGCAGTTGTGATAGCAGTAGAGGGTGGTAGCAGTTGTGATAGTGGTAGAGGGCAGTAGTGATGGTGGTAGAGGGTGGTAGTGATGGTGGTAGAGGGTGGTAGTGATGGTGGTAGAGGGTGGTAGTGATGGTGGTAGAGGGTGGCAGTGATGGTGGTAGAGGGTGGCAGTGATGGTGGTAGAGGGTGGCAGTGATAGTGGTAGAGGGTGGCAGTGATAGTGGTAGAGGGTGGCAGTGATGGTGGTAGAGGGTGGCAGTGATGGTGGTAGAGGGTGGCAGTGATGGTGGTAGAGGGTGGCAGTGATGGTGGTAGAGGGTGTCAGTGATGGTGGTAGAGGGTGGTAGCAGTTGTGATAGTGGTAGAGGGTGGTAGCAGTTGTGATAGTGGTAGAGGGTGGTAGCAGTTGTGATAGTGGTAGAGGGTGGTAGCATTTGTGATAGTGGTAGAGGGTGGTAGCATTTTTGATAGTGGTAGAGGGTGGTAGCAGTTGTGATAGTGGTAGAGGGTGTGTTATAGCCAATCATGGTCAGGGACGACCAAGGTGGTGCATGGCCGAGCAAATGTAGACAGCCTGTACTGTCTGCATAGAGAGCCCATGCTGTCTGCCAGCTGAGTTCATATTTTGCGCCATGCTCATGCTGCCACCTATAGGCCTACCACTTCAGTATGCATACACCTGCCTCTGCCTCACTCTCTCAGTGGCCTTCACTCAGACAACAGGTCTAGCCCTCTCTCCCTTCCAGGCCATGGGCACTTACCACACTGCCTGTGTACCCCACAACATTACAAATAAAGTACAGAAGCCTCTGAAGCCTTATTATTACTCTCTGCTACCAAGAATCACCAATGAACCCATATTACGGTAGTAGTGGTTGTGATGGTGGTAGAGGGTGCCTTCTTCAGTGATTCTACTAACTCCTCCAATGTTGTTGGAGTTATATAGGGCTACAAAAAACACCGGTGCCTCAGCTGCTGCTTCACCACCACTATCGACAGCTTATGCTCTCGGTGGCCCTTATACACCCAACAACACCAACAGAAAACCACTCATGACATTTTTTTTTCCTCAACAAACTGGCCGTATCCCACCAAGGCAGGGTGGCCCAAAAAGAAAAACGAAAGTTTCTCTTTTTAAATTTAGTAATTTATACAGGAGAAGGGGTTACTAGGCCCTTGGTCCCAACACTGTAGTCGCCTCTTACAACATGCATGGCTTACAGAGGAAAAATTGTGTTCCACTTCCCCATGGAGATAAGAGGAAATAAACAAGAACAAGAACTAGAAAGAAAACAGAAGAAAATCCAGAGGGGTGTGTATATACATATGCTTGTACATGTATGTGTAGTGTGACCTAAGCGTAAGTAGAAGTAGCAAGACATACCTGAAAACTTGCACGTTTATGAGACAGAAAAAAGACACCAGCAATCCTACCATCATGTAAAACAATTACAGGTTTCCATTTTACACTCGCCTGGCAGGACGGTAGTACCTCCCTGGGCGGTTTTGACACATTCATAATGACTTATTTTATTCATTCTAGAGTATATTCCATGTTTCTATGTTATTGATATTGTTTATTATGTCATATTAGTTGAATTGTGATAGATAAATAAGCCGCAGCAGAGTTAATATTAGTGTCATATTCTCCAACAATAAAATCGCCTCCCCTCCCTCTGCCCCGTATGCCATACACCAACGTAAGTCTTCAATAAAGTTAAGTGTGATGCTAGATGTTCATTTATACATTTTATTAGTGCTTTACATTTATTTGGCATTCTTTTCTGCATGTAAATCTATATTTAACCCTTTGACTGTCGCGGCCGTATATATACGTCTTACGAGGTACCGTGTTTGACGTATATATACTCATAAATTCTAGCGGCTTCAAATCAAGCAGGAGAAAGCTGGTAGGCCCACATGTGAGAGAATGGGTCTGTGTGGTCAGTGTGCACCATATAAAAAAAATCCTGGAGCAATCAGTGCATAATGGGGAAAAAAAAACTGACCGTTTTTTTTAATTAAAATGCCGACTTTGTGGTCTATTTTCGTATAGTATTTATGGTTGTATTCTCATTTTCTTGGTCTCATTTGATAGAATGGAAAACATATTATAGAAAAAAAGGTGATTTTGATTGATTTTACTATAAAAAGAACCTAGAAATGAAGCTCAAAGTAGGGGAAATGTTTGATTTTTGCCAATGTTCAAAAGTAAACAAATGATGCCATTGTCCAATAAATGTCCAACTAGCCATTCTAGTATGCAGTCATGAATGGGTTGATGTTATTTATACAATTATTACAGTATTGCAGTAGTCTGCATAATAGTAAATCTTCTATTTTTTGTTTGAATAAAAATTCAAAATAGAAAGCAAGAGTAATATCAGAGGGGCCTGGAGACATGACTGATGAACAAAAAAAATGTTATTTTAGAGTCAGGAATGTCTGCATTGTTCATTCTGGACCTTATTTTGAAATTGTCATATTTTTTAGTTTTAGTGAAATTGGCCAAATTGCAAATTTCTGACCACATTATTAGGTAGTTGAAATCGGTAAATGGGCAGTTTCTTGTACTCAATCGATAGAAAAAACGGATTTCTAAAAAATAGCTATGAGTTTGGGCGACTGGAACAATGGAATTAGCTGAAAATAGGGCTCAAATTGGGCGAAATCGCTGATTTGTAAACAGCGCCGAGGTCGCTAACTTCGCAAGAGCGTAATTCCGTCAGTTTTCCATCAAATTTCGTTTTTTTGGTGTCATTACAATCAGGAAAAGATTCTCTATCATTTCATAAGAAAAAAAATTTTTTTTTTTTTTTTTTAAATTCTGCGACACCAGGAGACACCTCAGGATTGGGGGTTGCGACAGTCAAAGGGTTAAGCTAAGGAAGCGGCTAGGTAAGTGACCCCTGAAGTGACCTAGAGTCCTTATGGAGGGGGATTCCCCTTCCCAACAATAACCTCTCTTCCATTCATCAACAACAGCCTTCAGTAAAGGTAACTGTCATGTTGCATGTTCATTCTTTTGTGCATGTAAATCTATCTTTAAGGTAAAAAAAAAAATTTTTTTGTTGATACTTCTGGGTGTCTGGAACGAATTAATTGGATTTACATTATTTCTTATAGGGAAAATGGATTTGCAAATCAGTCAATTTCGATAATAGTCACAATCTCTGGAATGGATTATGAAAAACGAGGGTCCACCACATTAATATGCGTAAATTCTAGCGGCTTCAAATCAAGTGGGAGAAAGCTGGTAGGCCCATTTGAGAGAATGGGTCTCCATGGTCAGTGTGCTCACTATAAAAAAAATAGGGGAGCCAGTGGTGCATTATGGAAATGCCATTTCAGTAGTCCTTGTTCAGCATGCCTAGCAGCAAGAAATATCTGACTCCCTGGCAAATCTGGGACTCTTCTCTTCCCAAGTGATAGATCTAACACAGATGGAAGTGTCAGTGAAAATGAATTTCATGGTTTTGAGGAGTTTGTGACCGAAATCAATGCCCAGGATACCAGAAGAATGAAAGAGAAAGAAAGAAAAAAGATAGTTATGTAGGAAGGATGGTGGGGAAACTAACATTGCACCCCATTGTGTTGACAGGTGGTAGGGGGAGTGAGTAATGATATGTCATTTTGACAGCTGCCAGACCCTGACTCAGCACATTTAGAAGTTCCCCCCCCCCTCCCTACACACACACACAAACTTCTTGAAGATAATAGCAGTTCTATGAAAGTGTCCAGAAGGAAGGAAGGAAAGAATGAAGAAAGAAAGAATGAAGAAAAAGAAAGGTAGGCAGGTAGGTAGGAAGGAATGATGATAAGATCATTTACCTAGGAGAACTAACACAACTGTCTGCTACTAATTTGAAGAAAACTGCTCAAAAGAGGTGTTCTGTCTCTGCACATACAAAAAAAAAGCCTACAAAAATGCAGACACTCGTTTTATGTGTGAGGAGTGTAAAACATCATTGTGTATGAAACCATGTTTCAAAGAGTTCCACAAGCTGCAGAACTTCTAGGAACATGTCCAGTGACTGTACATTTGTATATATATTATAGAACAATAGTAATAAACAATTTTTTGCACTGTTTGTATAAACAAGTTTTGCAAAGAACATATTGATAATGTTCGTGCGTTTATTGTGTTGTATACAACGAGTGCACATTACACCTTACTTTGGTCTCACAGGCCACATAGGTTACCTGAAAAAATATAATAGTAGAAAAAGCAAGAAACCTTTGAATGGGAGTAAAAAAAGTTTACCAGGTGAGCGGCATTTGCCGCTGTTGCCATACACGGCTCATTTTCTGCCAACTTTATGCCTCTATATCTCAGTAAGTAAGGATCACAAAAAAAAAAATTTACGCCTAAACCCCTCAGCAAAATAATCCTAACATTTGGTAAGAAAAAATAATTTTTTTATTTTTCAAATATTTTTCGAGATAGAATGACAGTTTCAGAAATGGGCTTGCAACAGTCAAAGGGTTAACCCAACTGTCACTATAGCAATACCCATCATAGGCAAACATGATTATCAACATACTTCTTGCATTACACAGAAAAATACAGTATAGGTTGCCCATCATTAATCCAGCATCAATGGGACCTGTAGGGTGCCAGACCTGGCACAATTATCACAGGAAACTGTGTCATGCCTCTGAAAGCCCTGGGATGTAAGCTTTTACCAATGACATTAGCCGAAAGTAGTGCCAGATTAGTGATGGAACCTGGATTAGTAATTGCTGGATCAATGATAGCCAACCTGTACAAAGTAATATCCTATAACATGATTACAGCACTGACCTGCGACCTCTCATAGCCCATTTCCATTATATTTTCTACCATGCGGTTAAATTCTTCACCCATTACCAACAAGGACTCTGCACTGCCAACGGACCTAAAAAAATATTTTGTAATGAGTAATACAAATGGCTTACACAAAAAGCACTCAGAGAAACCATAGGTTAAAAGAACACACTAACTCAGCCTGGTTTACAACCCATTAACTAAATAAAAAAGGTTGAAAAAATTATCAAAGCACACCCAAATGCAAAATCTATTGGCACTGGTGATACATATAAGTTTATCATGAAGTATTACTGGTTACTGAAACAGTTACCTTTCAGAAAGTGCTGCAAAAATGTCAATTACAATCTGCATTCAGAAAGCAAAATCACCAAGTTAATAAATCAATAAAAAAAATTTTTAGTATCACTGAAAGTGCATTATATATGTAGGAAAATATAAAAATGTAGAAAGCCTGAAGCACAAACTATCAATACACACTAATTATACAAGTATACTCCTTGGAATTATGCAAATTCACTGTTCTAAGGCACAGTTTATTTGCACTGTTTAACTTTTTGTTGGATATGAACTGTTAGCAGATGGGTCTATGAAAGATGAGGTGAATCATAGAACTGACGGAGGGAAAAAGATGAGTGGTGCACTGAGGAGTCTGTGGAAACAAAGAACTTTATCTATGGAAGCAAAGAGGGGTATGTATGAAAGTATAGTTATAACAACGCTCATTTATGGGTGTGAAGCATGGGTGGTGAATGTTGCAACAAGGAGAAGGCTGGAGGCAGTGGAAATGTCATGTCTGAGGGCAATGTGTGGTATGAATATAATGCAGAGAATCCGTTGTTTGGAGAATAGGAGGAGGTGCAGAATTACCAAACTATTATCCAGAGGGCTGAGGACGGGTTACTGAGGTGATTTGGACATGTAGCAAGGATGGAACGAAATAGGATAACTTCGAGTGTATCTGTAGTGGAGGGGAGGCAGGGCAGGGGTCAGCCTAGGTAAGGTTGAAGGGAGGGGGTAAAGGAGGTTTAGTGTGAAAGGGGCGTAGACTTCCAGCAAGTATGCATAAGCACGTTAGACACAAGTGAATGGAGACAAATGGTTTTTAGGACTTGACGTGCTGTTGGAATGTGAGCAATGTAACATTTATGAAGGGATTCAGGGAAACCGGCAGGCCATACTCGAGTCCTGGTGGTGGGAAGTAGTGCCTGCACCCTGAAGGAGGAGTGTTAATGTTGCAATTTTATCAATGTAGTTTAAGCACACCTCTGGCAAGACAGTGATGGAGTGAATGATGAAAGTTTTTCTTTCTCGGGCCACCCTGCCTCGGTAGGAATGGCTGTGTGTTAATAAATAAAAAATAAACAAACTTTCTTGGACTCAATAGATTATTTTTTTATTTTCTTGACTATTTTTATTAAGACTATCCTAACAAAATTTGTCAAACGTTACTAGCACTATGCTCTGATACATTTCCCTTTTTGCCTCCATGGATAACAGTCTTTGTCTCCACTAAGTTAGGTTAAGTAAGATTCGCCATGAAACAGGAAGCGTTTCCTGACGTGAATCTGAATCGCATGATAACCCGCCAATGGAGCTTTAGGTCATTTGACCAAGGCCTTGCAGGCTTACCAGTCCTTCCCTTTAAAAATTAAGTGTTCCCACTGATGCCTCAATGCACCACCCACCTTATCAATTATATTTTACACCTCATCTTTCATAGAACTGTCAGCTGACAAATCCACTCCTAAGTATCCAATCATACTGACTTCTTCCATATTCCCTCTTTCCAATCTGATAAGACAATTTTTCATTACCTGAATTTTTTGTTACCTTCATCACCTTGATCTTCCCTATACAGTGGACCCCCGCCTTACGATATTAATCCGTTCCTGAGAGCTCACCGTAAGCCGAAATTATCGTTAGCCAAATTAATTTTCCCCATAAGAAATAATGGAAATCAAATTAATCCGTTCCAGACACCCCAAGGTAAGAAAAAAAAAAATTTTTACCACGTGGAATATTAATTTTAATACACAAACTGAAGAAGACATGCACAATTACTACTCTACTACAAATAGAATACATGGCACTTACCTTTATTGAAGATCTGGTGATGATTGACGGGATGGGAGAAGGGGAGTGTGTGGAAGTTATTGTTTAGAAGGGGAATCCCCTTCCATTAGGACTTGAGGTAGCAAGTCCTTTTCCAGGGTTGCTTCCCTTCTTCTTTTAATGCCACTAGAACCAGCTTGAGTGTCACTGGACCTCTGTCGCACAACAAATCTGTCCATAGAGCTCTGTACCTCCCATTCCTTTAACCCTTTCAGGGTCCGTCCCGTAGATCTACGGCTGGTCGGTGAGTGTCCAAACCGTAGATCTACGCCAAAATTCTAGCGCCGTCAAATTTAGCGCGAAAGCGCTCATAGGCCTACATATGAGAGAATGGGTCTGCGCCGTGGGTGTGCGCCGTAAACAAAAAATCTAGGCGCCTGCATAGCATTGTGGGAACGCCGGCTCAGTCACCCTTGTTCACCATGTCTCGTCGCAAGTCAGCTCTCCTCCCCCCGGAAAATTGGGGGACTCTCCTCTTCCTGTCTGATAGTTCTGAACACTGTGGAAGTGGAAATGAGACAATTCTAACCGGCTTTGATAAGTTAGTGCCGAAAATAATTGACCAGGATATCGATAATAGTGCAGAAAACCCCGACGATCCTCGCCCTTCAAACCTCTGTTTTGGGCACTCGTGACTCACATTTCGGTGTTCCTAAAGTAAGATGAAAACTAATATTTTCCCGTGGCCTGGCCTCTGACTTCAGTAATGACGATATTCTGAACGTGTTTTTGGGATTTTAAATTTCCCGCTCGACGATCATTCGGGGTAGTGATAGTGAGGAAACAAATTCACCAAGGGAAGCGTCGGTATGTTCGCCGCCGCATGCGCTCGGGTATGTACCCTAGCTGGGGCCCAGGGGACGTGATTTAAAACCCGGGAGTAACATCCCGTGGCCCTAACCCGTTTATAGTAGATAGTGAGGTTTATTGCTACACCTTGGCATGGATGGGCCACAACAATGGATGGTGTTAGTGGGGCTGTGGTGTAGTCCCCGCCAGGGGCTGACCGCTGTGCCACGCGGAACCCACCGCTGCGACTCTCAGTTCAAGGACAAAGCGGAGCGTCACCCACCAAACCCGCCACAACCACCCGTCAACCACCATGATGTCCAGTACCACCAGCAAACCGTATCGGGATTGGCAGCAAAACCCAATTTTTTTCCCAGCCCTCACCACTTTGATGACTCGCAAGTGGAATTCTACCCTACCTGTCCCCTGGAACCAACGGCCAATGAACTGGAATTCTTTGAATTATTCTTTGACCAGCCCACTGATGGAAATTAATTGTCGGGGAAAGAATTTAAGTTATTTCAGTACACCCATGGCAAATAGATCTTATCACCACAGTCAAGACTACACAGGTGAAGGACGACTGTTCAGAAATGTTTTTTGCTTTTGCAACAATAATGCTTATGCCTCACGTCATAAGCAAAAAAATAAAAGCAAACAGTCCAACAATCGGCTAATTTGTCCCCATCCTTCATTAAATAATACCAGTGAACGGGTTTTTTATCTTACTTTTACGTATGTTGCACTTCTCTCAAAACCAGGCCTACAGAAGTGACGGTTTACAAGATTAAAATGTTTTCAGGGTATCTCAAACAAAAGTTCAGATAACTTTTAATCCTTCAAGAATTTTGTAATTGAGACGAAGTCTTTGATTTTGTCAAAGGTAACTGCTTTAAAGCATTATATACCGAGCAAGAGAACCGCTTTGGTATAAAATTGTTTTACTCTGTGATTTTGCAGTGCCGGGTGGATATTGTTGATACACAGGTAAGTAAAACATTGAAGATAACCAAGATGTTTTTGGGGTTATATCAGTGCCCGTATTGAAAAACCTTTATGGCACCTTATCTGGTAAGGGCCTACATTATAAAACCGATACTGGTACCCCAGGCCCATTACCAGTGATTTCATGCAGTGAACAAGACAGATGTGTGTGGCACAGTGCGTTCTAATCGTAACATATGCCCAGGCTCAACGCAGGTTTTGGTGATGACGTGCAGGTGTTTAACTGCCAATGACAATCATGGCATTACGGTGGCATGACAAACGAGATGTCACATTGTTGACAACCATTCACCGTAATGAAATGCAAGACAGTGGCAAAGTTGAATCGAGTGACTAATGAACGAAATTCGAAAACCAGTGACAGTGGATTGATTAATACAAAAAACCATGCGCTTGGTTGACAATGTGACACGCAGATTGGTTTTGTTGACTGTGTTCGTAAGAGTTAAAAAGTGGTACATGAAACTTTTCTTCCATCTCATGGACATTTCAATGCTGAATGCATATAATATGTACCAATAAAAAAACTGGTAACAGACCACCGTATGGTGAATTTTGTTTGTCTTTGCAGACAACTCAAATGAAAGTACCAGGTAACAACACCTGCAATACAACATGGTCCTCGAATTCTCACAATATACCCAAGCGTTTGAGAAGAGAAGGTGATCATTTCATAATAAAAGCTTCCTTCAACTAAAAAAAGAAATTTGCTCAGAAAGATGCATTGTCTGTGCACAAACAAAACGACGGCAAAAAAAGACGCAAAGACACTCGGTTTATGTGGAGGAATGTAAGGTGCCTCGTGTATGGTGCCTTGTTTCAAGGAGTTCCACAAGCTCCACAGTTCTAAAACCATGTCCAGTGATTGTAAATAGTAAATATATGATAGAAAAATTAGTATTATACAATATTTGTGCATGTTTATTGTAAAAAACAACAGTGGTAAACAAAAATATGATAATAAAATTTAGTGCGGTTATTGTGTTCAATACAGTGAAATATATATATATCAATTATATACGTATTGGTCTCTCAGGCCCCAAATGTTAGTAGGAATAGAAAAAATTGGAAAAGAAAAGAAAAAACAACTAAAACAACAAAATAATATAATACGCGTATGTGGAATTCGTCGATGTTGCCGCCACCACATCATTTTCTACAAACTTCTTGGCACTGTATCTCGGTAAGTACTGATCAGATTCTAATTTTTTTTGTTTTATTACCTTCACAAAAATATGCTCTTTAATTCTGTAAGAAAAAATAATTTTTTTTTTTTTCAAAATTTCTTGGACACTGGTGCGTGACTTCAGATTTTGGCCTTGGACCCTGAAAGGGTTAAGACTTTCCTAAAATGGGCAATAACATTGTCATTGTACAGGTTGCCAACATGGCTTGCAGTAGCCGTGTCAGGGTGATTTTCATCCGTAAAGGTTTGCAGTTCAACCCACTCTGCACAAACATTTCCTTAATCTCTTTTTTCAAATCCATACTAATTCTCGCCCTTTTTACCACAGGGATGGCACTAGAAGCTTTCTTGGGGTCCGTGGTGACTTATTTTGCAGTTACAAGCACTAAAAACACTGGGATAATGTGAAGTGTACCGAATGTATGCGTAGATGCGACCACACTGGCTGGCTTGTGAACACTGGCACTGAGGCCACACGTGGGACGCGTCCCGGACGAATCACGTAAGGTGAGTTTTTTATCGTGAGGCGAGGCAAAATTTTTGCGTTCAAATGCTTCGTACGGCGGATTTAATGTAACACGATGCGTTCGTAAGGTGAGGGTCCACTGTATTCACTTTTAATTCGATTCCTTTACATACCCTCCCAAATTTGTCCATCAACCTTTGCAACTTCTCATCAGTATCTCCCAAAAGCACAGTGACATTGGCAAAAGGCTACCATAATAACTCCCACTTTGTATTAAATTCTATAACTTTTAATCCCACACCTCTCCTGCAAGGTAATCAGTCCATCAGTGATGGACTGATTACATCGTCTTCACATCTCTATTGCTTCTGCTCCTTTGTATGTATTCTACTGAAGAAGCCCTCTGCATGGGCAAAACATTTTGGAATAAAGATACCCAACTGTTGCATGTGTCTTGTTTATCAGTCTAGGCTAAGCATAACTGAAGCATTGACTATTTCACTAGTATGCATTCTCTTGTCGACCGAGCACAAGAAACTACCCATTTAACTATTACAACTATCCTGTGAAGTGCACAGAAGTCAGTAATTTGACTAATTTTACACAAAATTAAAAAAAAATTCAATTTAAAAAAGCCAAGTCCAAAAACACTGGAGACATTCCAGGCACTAAAACAACATGTCCTCTCTTCATTAATCACATTCTCAGGCTTCTCCTATATTACAATTTCCTTACATTTTGAATTCATCCCAAAATTCAAAGATTTATTCTAGGATAATATAACCGAGAATGATTGGTGTTTACAGCATCCCAGTAACTGAATTAGACCACCGAGTGTATGGGGGCCTTATCCATCCTCAAGAAAATTGACAAAAATCTAACATTTCTGCTACTGTGAGCTCAATTTCAAGCTACTTCTGGTCTAGAAACCATTTCTATTTCAGTAGTATATCTTCCATTCTATCTAATGTTGCCAATAAAAAAAAAAACTCAAATTCACTAAACAAAACACAAAGTCAGAGTTGTGCATTTCCCATCAAGCACCATGTGAGGCTTTTTTTCTTTACTGGACACACTCGCCACACAAACCCAGTCTCATTTCTAGGCCAAAATTAACCACTCACAGCTTATCTGAGGGAGCCAAGCTCAAAACGTAGATAAGTGACCCTGGCATAAATGACATACCTACATGAGACAGTGAAAAGGTTAATGACCCAGTATCTGTACCAGCTGAAGAAGCCATGTGATATAACAAAATGATACTGAGCCTTTTGTCTTTGATAAACAGAGCTTTTCCATCATAAGCAATATTACAAAATATAGAAAACAAGAAAACTTACCCCCCTGAAGTTGTCTGTGTGGCTGGTGCTGACTCTGTAGTGGATGTTTCAGTAGGCTGGGAAGTGGTTGTGGTAGTGGTTGTAGTTGTGGTTGTAGTGGAAGTAGATGCTGCCCCAGATGATGCATCTGTGGTAGGCGTGCTTGTACCCTAAAGAAATATTTGCACTAGAACAACCAGGCAGTTGATGGCACAAGGCAACATGTAGCAATTCAAAGGCACTTTAAGCAGAAAAACTTACTTAATATTTCACTCACGGTGGGGAAGAATAACGGTTTTTCCCTGCATAAAGCATCTTTAAATTAGAGAAATACATTTTTTGCCCTAACTTCCTCAACTCCACCTAAGGAAAATCATTCATATTAATGTGTGCCATGCTTTGTAACAAGTGACTGGTTCCCAGCTTATTAGCCAAATAAATGTTTGAAAAAGGCATTTCCTATCAAACAACTGCTTCATGGACCAGTAAATATAAGACAATGTCTTTGTATTCATCTTATTAGATTAACTAAAACCCAAGGTGCACTCACATTTCATGAAAAGTGTAATCATTTAAAAACAAAAACTATACGATGGGCAATAGTGTAAAGGATTTGCAAAAGTGACATTTAAAAAGGAAACGTTTTGCCACAAGTCTTCTTTGGTCTTCATTAGAACTAAAGAAGCAACACCTGGCAAAATGGTAGATAAGACACAGACTTTGGAACAGAACTTCTCCAGGCTGAGGGACTGACAACCTCAAATCTACGACTTCAAGGATGATGAACTGATTACATCGTCTTCACATCTCTACTGCTCCTGCCTACTTTCTGTACTCGACTGAAGAAGCCTCCTGTGTAGGCGAAACGTTTCGTAATAAAGTTGCCTAAATGTTGCCTATGTGTCTTATCTACCAACCTGTCGGTATTGTATACCATTTGATAATCACCTGGCAAAATGTTTCCTTATTAGATGTCTTAATCTGCAAGAGTGTCTGCTTCAATGTTTGCATTTACAAGAAATTAACTGGTGCCCAGATCACACACAAAACATATTTGACTTTTTTACACTTTCTTTAAGGAAGGTTCATCAATCTTTAAATCCTTCACATGTAATTCTCCACTGATGTTCTCTCTGCCAAACTAGGTAAAGAAAAAGTAAACTACACAGTATATCACATGAAACAAAAGGAAACAAAAGAGTACAGTGTTACTTATACATCATTATTACATTGTTGTACTTCATGCAAGTCCTTAACTCTTTCAGGGTCAGATCCCCGGATCTGAGAATTGCTCTCAGGATCGAAGAATTATATAAAAAAAAAAAATGAAATGACAGAATCTTTTTCCAAAGGTAATTAAACCAAAATTGGAATTGGATGGAAAACTTATGGAATTATGCTCCCACAAAGTTAGTGGTCTCAGCGATATTTACGTATTGGTAATTTCACCCACCGAGTCCTATTTTAGGCCAATTCCATTGTTCCAGTTAACCAAACGCATACGTATTTTGCAAGTATTCTTTCCATTCTATCAATTGAGTACAAAATAGAATACCCATTTACCTATTTCAATCACCCAATAAAGTGATCAGAATCAATAATTTGGCCAATTTCCAGAGTAGACAGTCATAGCACTAAAAAAAAAATTTCCTCTTTATTAGTTACAGCCCCAGGCCTCTCCTATATTATGCTTGCTTTCAATTCTGATTTTTTTTTTTTATTAACACACTGGCCGATTCCCACCAAAACAAGGTGGCCCGAGAAAGAAAAACTTTCACCATCATTCACTCCATCACTGTCTTGCCAGAAGGGTGCTTTACACTACAGTTTTTAAACTGCAACATTAACACCCCTCCTTCAGAGTGCAGACACTTTACTTCCCATCTGCAGGACTCAAGTCTGGCCTGCTGGTTTCCCTGAATCCCTTCATAAATGTTTCTTTGCTCACACTCCAACAGCACGTCAAGTATTAAAAACCATTTGTCTCCATTCACTATCAAACACGCTCACGCATGCCTGCTGGAAGTCCAAGCCCCTCGCACACAAAACCTCCTTCACCCCCTCCCTCCAGCCTTTCCTAGGCCGACCCCTACCCCGCCTTCCTTCCACTACAGACTGATACACTCTTGAAGTCATTCTGTTTCGCTCCATTCTCTCTACGTGTCCGAACCACCTCAACAACCCTTCCTCAGCCCTCTGGACAACAGTTTTGGTAATCCCGCACCTCCTCCTAACTTCCAAACTACGAATTCTCTGCATTATATTCACACCACACATTGCCCTCAGACATGACATCTCCACTGCCTCCAGCCTTCTCCTCGCTGCAACATTCATCACCCATGCTTCACACCCATATAAGAGCATTGGTAAAACTATACTCTCATACATTCCCCTCTTTGCCTCCACAGACTCCTAAGTGAACCGCTCACCCTTTTCCCCTCATCAATTCTATGATTCGCCTCATCATTCATAGACCCATCCGCTGACACGTCCACTCCCAAATATCTGAATACATTCACCTCCTCCATACTCTCTCCCTCCAATCTGATATCCAATCTTTCATCACCTAATCTTTGTTATCCTCATAACCTTACTCTTTCCTGTATTCACTTTTAATTTTCTTCTTTTGCATACCCTACCAAATTCATCCACCAACCTCTGCAACTTCTCTTCAGAATCTCCCAAGAGCACAGTGTCATCAGCAAAGAGCAACTGTGACAACTCCCACTTTATGTGTGGTTCTTTATCTTTTAACTCCACGCCTCTTGCCAAGACCCTCGCATTTACTTCTCTTACAACCCCATCTATAAATATATTAAACAACCACAGTGACATCACACATCCTTGTCTAAGGCCTACTTTTACTGGAAATAATCTCCCTCTTTCCTACATACTCTAACTTGAGCCTCACTATCCTCGTAAAAACTCTTCACTGCTTTCAGTAACCTACCTCCTATACCATACACCTGCAACATCTGCCACATTGCCCCCCTATCCACCCTGTCATACGCCTTTTCCAAATCCATAAATGCCACAAAAACCTCTTTAACCTTATCTAAATACTGTTCACTTATATGTTTCACTGTAAACACCTGGTCCACACACCCCCTACCTTTCCTAAAGCCTCCTTGCTCATCTGCTATCCTATTCTCCGTCTTACTCTTAATTCTTTCAATAATAACTCTACTATACACTTTACCAGGTATACACAACAGACTTATCCCCCTATAATTTTTGCACTCTCTTTTGTCCCCTTTGCCTTTATACAAAGGAACTATGCATGCTCTCTGCCAATCCCTAGGTACCTTACCCTCTTCCATACATTTATTAAATAATTTATTCACATTTATTCACAAAAAAAAAAATTACAGTTATGCAGACAAACCATACCACGGGCGGGATTTGAACCCACCGTCAGATAGTCTCAAAACTCCAGACCGTCGTGTTAGCCACTGGACCAGCTAGCCACAATTGTAGCTAGCTGGTCCAGTGGCTAACGTGACGGTCTGGAGTTTTGAGACCCTCTGACCTCGGGTTCAAATCCCACCCGTGGTATGGTTTGTTTGCAATCATGTCATTACGATTTCGTGAGTCAGTTATGCAGACTACTGAATTATCGTAATAATTTTATAAATAATTTCAGCGCATTCCTAAACAAGTATTAGATCAACCAAATGGTCGAGTATTGGACAAGTGATAATTTTTATACTCTGGAATGTTGGCAGAAATTTAACATTTCTACTACTTTGAGCTCAATTTCAAGCTACTCTCAGTCCTGAAACCAATACAAATCATCTTTATTTCAGTAATATAGCATTTATTCTATGAAACGAGACCAAGAAACTAATATAAGCATAAAAACCATGAAAAATACACTACAAAAATCACTATTTTAAACCAAAAATACGGCTAGTTTTTCCCCATTATGCACTGTGTGAAGCAGGATTTTCTACATTTTTAGTTAAAATTGTGTTAGACAAACTGAAAAACTTGTGGGGAAAAAATAGGGTTACGTTCCTTGGAGCCCCAAAAAAGCCAAACAACTTTTGTTTAGACCTTCAGATCTTACAAAAATAAAATATGTAATTGTAGTTCACTGTCTTGATGTATTATGTTGTTTTTACTGCTTAAGATTACAAAAGCAACAGAAATAATAGTATTTCTTACTTTAAATTGTGGGTGCTGGTGTTTGTGGATGATTGTGGAAAGTGGAGAGTTATGCTGTGGCCCTACTGGGCTGAGGTGGATGGTAGAGGTTCTGGTACTGAAGTCGATGGTTGTACTGGAGTGTGCATAAATTCTGTAATGGATTTCTGTTCTATTTTACCCTGCAGTACATTATACAACTGATGGTAAGGCATCAGCTGCTCTAGACACTGCTTTTTTTTTTTTTTTACACACAGGGTTTGACAAGGTTAAGGATCCCTAGCTTTATTGACAAGCTATTTACAGGTTAAGGATTCCTAACTTTATTGGCAAGCTAAGAGCTGTTACCTACATCAGCTCATTTGAAAGCATTTTTATTGTTATGAGACATACAAGTAGGGAACAGGATGAAGTTGGAGCCATCTGTGGGCCAGCATTTTCATTTGATCAACTGACTTTATCTCGTTGACATCATTATGCTGTACGAATGTGTTCCATACTCGAGTCATCCTGGGTATGTATGATCTCAGATGGAGTGATGTTCTGGAGAAGGGTACAGCCAGAGTGAAGTTGCTGCTTTCTGCCCGTCTTGTGGCATAAAAGCTTGTTTCACGCTGTCCTCGAAGTGGATCCAAGGCTCTGCTGAAATGACAGATCTATCCAGGATGGGTCCAGGCGAGAGATGAGACGTCTTGCTCTGTTCTCTACTCTGTCAAGCAGTCGCAGATGAGAGGGGGGCAGGCAAACCAAGAAAGTGGAGCATACTCAAGGTGTGAGCGTACTTGTGCCTCGTACAGGATCTTGCAACCCCTACTGTCAAGCAGATGCTTCAGGGTCTTCTTCAGTGAAAAAGTCTAAGTCAGTCAGTAAATCAGTCAAGTCAGGAAGTCAGTCAGTCAGTCAAGTCAATAAATCAGTCAATTCAATAAATCAGTCAAGTCAGTAATACAGTGAGTTAGTAATATAGTCAGTCAGCAAGTCAGTCAATTAGCCAAGTCAGTAAATCAGTAAGCCAGTCAGTAAA